AAATCATAGACATGTATTTACAAATCAAGTATAATGGGAGCACAGAATGATCTTGGAGAGAGCTTTACCGAGCTGACTGCTGTAACCGAACGCGACCAGTGTTTTAAAGGCTGAACGAATGACTGACAGCCACAGCGGAGAAAAAAGTTTGTTTGAACTTTAATGTAAGGACTTAAATATTCATATGTAGCTCACATTAAGCTATCGTATGGCTTCAGAAGTAACACAGAATAATTTGCACAATCGAGAGAAATTAAAAAAAAAAAAATCTCGGATTTGGATTGAATGATGTTGGAGAGAGCTTTACCGAGCTGACTGCTGTAACCGAACGCGACCAGTGTTTTAAAGGCTGAACGAATGACTGACAGCCACAGCGGAGAAAAGAGTTTGTGTGAACTTTAATGTAAGGACTTAAATATTCATATGTAGCTCACATTAAGCTATCGTATGGCTTCAGAAGTAACACAGAATAATTTGCACAATCGAGAGAAATTTAAAAAAAAAAATCTCGGATTTGGATTGGCCCTCTGACCGATACCCGATCCGAGAAAAATGGCATTATCGGAGCCGATACCCGATATGAATATCGGATCGGCGCATCCCTAGTCTAAACAGTTGATAAAAACATCACAATAATCCACACAACTCCAGTCCAACAGTTAATGTCTTGTGAAGCGAAAAGATTGTAAGAAACAAATCCATCATTAAGATGTTCTTAACTTAAAATATGAGTCTTCTATTCATAATATTGCTTTCTCCAGTGAATAAGTGGTCTCATCTGAATCAGGAGAGAAATATCCACAGATCAAGCACCGTTTACAAGCAAAAACAGTCCAAATAGTTCAAAATATGTTGTTGGATATTGATGTGAGAGGACAACAGGAGATGGATTTTTTTCGCTGGAGGAAACATTATTATGGATTATGGACTCATTTAAAGTTAAAACACCCTAATGATGGATTTGTTTCTTACAAACACAGCTTTTCACTTCACAAGACATTAATTAATGGATTAGTGGTGTGGATTACTTATTGTGATGTTTTTATCAGCTGTTTGGACTCTCATTCTGACGGCACCCATTCACTGCAGAGGATCCATTGGTGAGCAAGTGATGTAATGCTACATTTCTCCAAATCTGATCCCATGAAGAAACAAACTCATCTACATCTTGGGTGGCCAGAGGGTGAGCACGTTTTCAGCTAATTTTAATTTTTTGGGTGAACTACTGCTTTAATTCTTACCTGTTTTGTGATGAGCTGCTTTTATTTTGTTTTAAGTCATCAGCTTTTGTGCCTATATCAAATCACGCAACAAATAATGCATTAATAACTGTGAAGATTAATATTAGAATAAAATGCGAGCATAAATGATTCAGAAATATAAGCAAAAGCGGAACTTACTCAATCCTGCCATCTGATTGGATAGCGTGGTGACTGTCGATTGGCTGACTGCGCTATGAGCACCATTTGTTGCCTTTATTTGGTTGGAAGTTCCCAAATCAATGAGGTTTGTGTTCGCTGGATTCTGAAATACAACAATGAATTCTGAATGAATCAAATAAAGAATCGACATATAGTCATTATAGTGCATTTCATATCAAATTAATGAATTCTTACAGATTGTGCACTGCTCTGTTTGTCGAGATGTCTTTCAAATCTGAAAAAAAGAGAAGTTAGGTAACACTGAGATACTGTATGTGATCAAATGAACTTGAAGTGAAACATCATTAATTGAATTAACTTTCATGATTTCTCTGATTGTTTATGTTTACTTTATAAGGATTTTCAAGCATCCACAAAGAGCGATTTTTAGCAGATTTAATACATTTATAATATATGTATATTTATTTATAAAAATGCCCATGAATGTATTTATTTATTTCCATAACCTTCCCAAGTCTGGAAAACCAAGTTTAAAAATTCCCTGATATGTCTAAGTTTGCCATAATAATAGGAACCCTGTTATTATAGATGAGCTCTCCTCTACAGCATATATGATATCTCCTAATTTCCACAATTGCCGATATTAATTAGGATCATCAAGGATCATTTGGCACTGTGGACTTCTGCTATTAATTGCGACTGTTATCATAGTCTTATTATTCGTATAATATTATAGTTTTTATTCATATATTGAATGAGCTTTTATTTTTATATTTACAGTTTTGATTGTTATTAATTGTATGTTTTTGTCATTTTTATTTATTTATTTTTTCTAAATATGACTATTTTGGTTTAATTTGTTTAATTTAGAATTAGCTAAGTTTTAGGATTTATGTATTATAGTATAATTAGTCATTTTAGTGCTTCAACCTAAACTTATGTACTTTTACATTTAGTCATTTAGCAGACGCTTTTATCCAAAGTGACTTACAAATGAGGACAATAAAAGCAGTCAAAACTAACAAAACAGCAGCAATATATAAGTGCAAATGACAAGTCTGGGTTAGCCTAACGCAGTACATTGTATATTAACTGTATAGTTAATACAATAAGGCACTATATAATAACTGTATATTTCCGTTAGCTGACAAGGCAACATTTCTAATTTTCATCTAATATTTATATTTCACTTTATTTTAGATTTCAATTAACAAAAATGTTTTTAATAGTTTGGTTAACGATAACCAACAGCAACACATGGTGCAATTCTTGTATTTTATCATGCAATGATTTTGTTGTCAGTACACTGACAGTAAACTGCAGATAAAGAGAGCGTCTGAGGTTTGGAGGTTGGGTGGCATCAGGGAGGCAAGGTTTTTACTCAAATACTCTTACTATTTCTGCCATGAAAAGATAAAGTAGTATGCTAAATATCAGATCAAATCTGATTTTTTTCAAAATTATGACGTTAGAAAAACAGAAACAATAAATCTGTATGAAAGCCCAACGATGCCACCCAAAGCCCAACGATGTATCTTTATGTCTATAACCTTTTACGGCTTGGAAAAGGCTGAACAAGTCAAGACACGCCTGGACAAGTATCAGGAGGCAGTCTATATGTATGGGTGGATATATTGATTTGTTCATTGTGCAAGAAAATGGACTACAGCATGTTTGTTTCTTCTGTGAGTGATTGATAAAGTAAGTTAACCGTTTTATAGTCTATGCTAAGTCAAATGTTGACACTTGTTCAATACTGCTTAACTGTGCATGTTCCACTGCATAACTGATATTCATAAGCTAAAATTGTACACCTGTTTACGGTACATATTTAAATGATAAACACTTTGCCAAAATAATGCAGCTATTTAAATGCAACTTGAATGCCTTTATTACCTGATATTTGATACTGTTATTTACTGTCACTGCTGCTGTGTGTAATGTTTATTTCTTTATGTTAGCCAAATTATTGTTTATATTACAAATGTTATATTGCATTCTGTTTTCTCTGTTCATTGTAGACCACACACGCCCACATGCATCCCTTATGGGCAAATGCCTGTAAAAATTCAAACATGCAAGGATAATTCAAATAAAATCCTTCAATTGGGACCTGCTCTCTTTCTCACATTTCTCTAACCGGAAACTCTGGCCAGAGGGTGAGCACGTTTTCAGCTAATTTTAATTTTTTGGGTGAACTACTGCTTTAATTCTTACCTGTTTTGTGATGAGCTGCTTTTATTTTGTTTTAAGTCATCAGCTTTTGTGCCTATATCAAATCACGCAACAAATAATGCATTAATAACTGTGAAGATTAATATTAGAATAAAATGCGAGCATAAATGATTCAGAAATATAAGCAAAAGCGGAACTTACTCAATCCTGCCATCTGATTGGATAGCGTGGTGACTGTCGATTGGCTGACTGCGCTATGAGCACCATTTGTTGCCTTTATTTGGTTGGAAGTTCCCAAATCAATGAGGTTTGTGTTCGCTGGATTCTGAAATACAACAATGAATTCTGAATGAATCAAATAAAGAATCGACATATAGTCATTATAGTGCATTTCATATCAAATTAATGAATTCTTACAGATTGTGCACTGCTCTGTTTGTCGAGATGTCTTTCAAATCTGAAAAAAAGAGAAGTTAGGTAACACTGAGATACTGTATGTGATCAAATGAACTTGAAGTGAAACATCATTAATTGAATTAACTTTCATGATTTCTCTGATTGTTTATGTTTACTTTATAAGGATTTTCAAGCATCCACAAAGAGCGATTTTTAGCAGATTTAATACATTTATAATATATGTATATTTATTTATAAAAATGCCCATGAATGTATTTATTTATTTCCATAACCTTCCCAAGTCTGGAAAACCAAGTTTAAAAATTCCCTGATATGTCTAAGTTTGCCATAATAATAGGAACCCTGTTATTATAGATGAGCTCTCCTCTACAGCATATATGATATCTCCTAATTTCCACAATTGCCGATATTAATTAGGATCATCAAGGATCATTTGGCACTGTGGACTTCTGCTATTAATTGCGACTGTTATCATAGTCTTATTATTCGTATAATATTATAGTTTTTATTCATATATTGAATGAGCTTTTATTTTTATATTTACAGTTTTGATTGTTATTAATTGTATGTTTTTGTCATTTTTATTTATTTATTTTTTCTAAATATGACTATTTTGGTTTAATTTGTTTAATTTAGAATTAGCTAAGTTTTAGGATTTATGTATTATAGTATAATTAGTCATTTTAGTGCTTCAACCTAAACTTATGTACTTTTACTTTTAGTCATTTAGCAGACGCTTTTATCCAAAGTGACTTACAAATGAGGACAATAAAAGCAGTCAAAACTAACAAAACAGCAGCAATATATAAGTGCAAATGACAAGTCTGGGTTAGCCTAACGCAGTACATTGTATATTAACTGTATAGTTAATACAATAAGGCACTATATAATAACTGTATATTTCCGTTAGCTGACAAGGCAACATTTCTAATTTTCATCTAATATTTATATTTCACTTTATTTTAGATTTCAATTAACAAAAATGTTTTTAATAGTTTGGAACCAACAGCCCAACAGCAACACATGGTGCAATTCTTGTATTTTATCATGCAATGATTTTGTTGTCAGTACACTGACAGTGATAAAGAGATAAAGAGAGCGTCTGAGGTTTGGAGGTTGGGTGGCATCAGGGAGGCAAGGTTTTTACTCAAATACTCTTACTATTTCTGCCATGAAAAGATAAAGTAGTATGCTAAATATCAGATCAAATCTGATTTTTTTCAAAATTATGACGTTAGAAAAACAGAAACAATAAATCTGTATGAAAGCCCAACGATGCCACCCAAAGCCCAACGATGTATCTTTATGTCTATAACCTTTTACGGCTTGGAAAAGGCTGAACAAGTCAAGACACGCCTGGACAAGTATCAGGAGGCAGTCTATATGTATGGGTGGATATATTGATTTGTTCATTGTGCAAGAAAATGGACTACAGCATGTTTGTTTCTTCTGTGAGTGATTGATAAAAAAGTAAGTTATTCGTTTTATAGTCTATGCTAAGTCAAATGTTGACACTTGTTCAATACTGCTTAACTGTGCATGTTCCACTGCATAATTGATATTCATAAGCTAAAATTGTACACCTGTTTACAGTACATATTTAAATGATAAACACTTTGCCAAAATAATGCAGCTATTTAAATGTAACTTGAATGCCTTTATTACCTGATATTTGATACTGTTATTTACTGTCACTGCTGCTGTGTGTAATGTTTATTTCTTTATGTTAGCCAAATTATTGTTTATATTACAAATGTTATATTGCATTCTGTTTTCTCTGTTCATTGTAGACCACACACGCCCACATGCATCCCTTATGGGCAAATGCCTGTAACAATTCAAACATGCAAGGATAATTCAAATAAAATCCTTCAATTGGGACCTGCTCTCTTTCTCACATTTCTCTAACCGGAAACTCCCCTCTCCATTTCTACTTGTACCTAACCGAACCCTTGAGCGTCCCATACGCTCGTGCAAAATCAATAAGAGAACATATGATGAATCTTTAACATTTTTGTATTTAATAATAATTGTACTTGATATTTTCATTTGCACAAACTGTTAATATACTGTAGAGTAATTACATTTTTTTAATCTTTTCAAATGTTTTGTATACGTTTTTTTGAAATGGAGCTTTACTACCCCTAATTAGAATTTAGGCTTAGTTCGAGCACAAAGTATGTGCTTTCTGCATATGTAATTGTTGCTAGTGTATTTGTTTAGTCAAAGATTGTTTTTATCTATTAATTTCCACCCAGTCATTACAACGGAGATGTGTGTTTGTCTGTTTTCGGGAACATTTAAAATTGTGTGCAAAACAATTCCACACACTGTTCAGGCCCTGAAATCTAGTACATACAAACAGTATTACTTTAATTTAACATGAATAGTTATGTGGCTACACTCTGGTAATAGTGTCTCTTTTGATAATTGCTCTTGTTAAGGTTAAGTTCTTAATGTTTGAAGTAGCAGAGCAACCAAGCAATCAGTGTAGCTCACGGCGCCCTCTATTGGTGAAAATAATCACTACACAACTGCTTCGGTAACCTGCAGGCTATTTTATTAAGGATTTTTTGGAGTGTATTATTTTGTGGGTGTTTTGAATATGCTGTAAAACAGGGACATTTCCGGGCACGGGTCAAGTCATGGACAGGACACTAAAAACCAGGACTGTCCCCAGAAAGCAGGGACGTCTGTTTAACCTATGCTAGTTGCAATTTGTGTTTATAGCATGTGAGATTCTGTGAGACAAGCAAGGAAAACACATATTGAACTTTGTGATGGAACTGCTTGACTTAAAGGGTTAGTCATCTATGGGCTAATTTTCATTTT